ACACAGACTGTCACAGACATACATGTTGACAATCTCATTCATGCATTTATTTAATACTTATTGTAAGTTATAATAATTATCTTATAACTTTTCTCTTTGACAGAGTACATGTTTCACAATAATTAAGAGTCTTAGCACTTTAGAAATATAAAAGTACTCTCTGATAATAATTTATAATCAGAAGGAACAAAGGTGATAGGAAAGATGCCACAGTTTTTGAGACTATAAGTTTTGCAAAAACTATGACAAGCCAAATCTAATTGCTGAAGAGTTTGTAAGCAAATTTCAAACTTATCTGATAGAAGCTGCTATCTTGATCTAGCACCAAGCTCTCATAACTAATTTACAAGGAAATATGTTGCAGCTAGAGGGGAGAATTAACAATCAGATCTTGGGAGTTAAAGAGTTAAAACTTTATGCCGTAGAGTTTTGCTTCATGTATGATTACTTGATGATATCTAATATAGTTGAAATGGGTGATATATTAAAAATGTTCATTTTCTTGAATTTTAGGTTTTGTTGTCATGCAGTCATGTTTTTCATAGGGTAGGTTTTGAGAATATTGCAATCACATGAAGCTTTATATGAATATCATTTTTATTACACATGCAAAAACTGAGCTTGTATTTTCCTTTAAAAAATTTTGGAATGTTCATCTAAAGATACACTGAAGGTATTTCACAGAGAAAATCAAGAAAGTGTCAAAACCAGAAATATTATTTTGCAAATGTTTTTGTGAGACTCAAGGAAAAGCCAGTCAGGCATGAATAAACTACATGTTAACATCAGGTTCATGAATGTCAAAGGAATTGTAGTATACTAATATTTACCTTAATTATGCCTTTTAGACTTGTCTTGAAGCATTTGAAAAGTTTTCTGGGCGCAAATCTTGTCCCATGTGTAGAAAAGAACAGTACCAAAGAAGGATTATCCATGAAGGTGCCAAGGAGTACAGAGAGAAATGTGCAACAAAGTACTTGTTTGATCTCACATAGTAATGGCTTCAGCACCTCAGTCTTTGCATTCTGAGCAGGTTTTTAGTGACGGATTGACAGTTTGATCCCTCTGATGGTCACTTGACAAAAAATCTTTTTCAATGTGCTCACACATGACTCATCAGAATTCTAAGCAAATGGTAGAAACCAAACAGCTTCTGGAGATGGTGCAAGTGCAGACACTATGGTCACTGCTGAATTCTGTTCAGAAATTCCAAATGAAGGCTTCCACAGCCGTTATTTTAGCACAAGATTTACCTTAACCTTTCAAGGTTTTCAGCACTATGATGTCCTCTGCACTCATCAATCGCCCAAAAAAACAGTTTTATAACATACTTCTCCTTTAAATTCAAATACTATGTATTGATTCGTTCATTTTACTCATTTATCACAGAAACTTGTATAATATTTATTTAACATAACCTTTTTCATTCAGTCTCAGCACTAACCGTCTTGCTTTTGATCACCAATCAGGATACAGTCTGCCTGGCGTGGCTACATTGTGCGGCAGTGGTACAAGAGGTTAAGGCAAACAGTGCCACCAAAAGACCCCAAACTTAGAAAGAAGTTTTACGAAAACAAGGTATTTACCTGTTATTTCGTGTTTTTTAGAATTTATTTAACCGAATTGTGCCATCAATAGATAGACCCCATCAGTCAGTGTTTCTTTCCCTCTAATTCACACCAATTCATCCTTGATAGTGACGAAACAATTAAGCTACAACATTTTGCCTCACTCTCAATATGCACCTGTTTTGTTCAGTTAGTGGGAGCACCAAACTTGGGTTTAGGAGACACTCGTTCGAATCCCGTCGAGGCTTGAATTTTTTTCAGCTGCACTCTTTTTAACAAATATAGTATTTTTTTCAATTTGTCGTGCAGGGAAAATTATTTAGAATAGACAGGAACACAAAAGGCCCAGGCTGCTTTTTTCACCTTTCATTTACGCAAACAGAAGTCCGTTTATATATCAAACGGATTTCAAAATTTAATCATTTAGGATGGTTTTTTAACGTCTCTGCAATATTCTTATTCCAGTTTCAAGATATCACCGACCGTCTCCTTCAATCAATGGAAGCTAGTAACCAGAGTGTTGATAATCTGTTGTTGGAGATCGACCAATCCATAGCCGCTAGTCGTGACACGATGAGGTATGCACACAACTCAGATGTAAAGTACCCACCCCATCCCTCCCTTTTTTCTGCCCCCCCTCCCCCCCCCCCAGCTCGAAACGACTTCATATGTGGAACCTCTCGCAAACTTACCTACTTTGTTATTAATTTTACTGCTTTTAGTTTTATCTTATGGAAGGCGTTTATTAATTCCCTAGACAATTGAACGAAAACAGTGAAGACACATCAACCGAGACAGACTGGGATCAAGTCCAACTTCAAGTATGTTCAATCAGTAAAAGTGTCCAGTCTCTCTCGTGCTCGATAGAGCGTAACGGATGTCATTTTTGCCCTTTGTTGTTATTGCTGGTCAACCGCTCTCTGTTCAACCTTCAAACCCGGAGAGTGGCCTGCATCTAATTTCTCGTTTCAGTAATACTACTGAATCATTCATTAAGATCATGAGAATAACGAAAGTGATCACCAACCTGAGAAGTTTTTCAAGTGTTAAGGAATTCTCCATGTCAATACCAAAGGAAATGTATCGAGAAGGGTATGGAGAATATTGATGCTGATATTAGGTTTAACGCTCGTTTTTTCCACTCTCAGGCCGTTCAGAGAAGTGTCACTGACTGTCCGATCTGTATCATGCCACTCACTGACCAAGGACTGTACCGGAAAAACCCTTCATCACGGCCCACTGTTCTTCTGTCTTGTTCACACGTGTTCCATGCCACATGTCTGCAGGCTTTTGAAGAATTTTCCTTTGAAAAACGCCGCGTGTGTCCTGTTTGTCGGTCTTCTTACCACAAGAAGATAATGTAGAGGCCATACAAAGGAAACTCTTTAACACAGGAAGATCATAGACTCTATGAAATAAATTGTATAACTTAGAGAGGACGTTTAGAACAATTTCTCTGTGTTAAATTATTTTATAGTAAAAGCAGGACTTAATGGGACTTTTGAATGGTTCCCCACGCAGTCAATAATAATAATAATAATAATAATAATCTGTCTTTAATAAATCAGAAACAACAAACGTGTAACTTTACAATATGAGAAAATTATAAATATAACTAAGAATATATGAAAACTGTAACATTGTAACATTATGAAGTTCCTTATAGACGGTGAATTTAATTGAAGAAGCATTTGTTAAGGAAACAATGCTTGAAGATTCTCATTGAGTTTCGTTAAACCTCCTCTTCACGAAAAAACTCGGACCAAAAACAAAAAGAAGAGGGGGCATATATCGAAAGTTTAAAGCTTGACGGTGGACGTTACTTGTACTAGAGCAATAGCCGGGAATCGAGCCAGTTTTTTTAACTTAATACTTCCAGTTCTTAGCATCGTGAGTCTCCTGAGACGGCAGATAGAAATATATAACTAACGTAAATGTGCTAAAATAACTGACCAATTAAAAGAGTTTGTTCTTCTCGTGCGGAGAAAGACACAGAGAAGTACTGTGCAAATAAAGGTAAATACTGTGCAAATTAGAGATGAAAACTCTTCATTAACTTTGTATATGATCGATTAGTAGAAGCGGGTTTTCTTTTCCTGTAGAAAACGAAATTATAACAAGAATTGCATGGAATGTAGTTGAGAATCCACCGAATTAGTCTTAACGGAGATATTTCCTTTTGCCACGCTCTGTAGATTGTTTCCCTAAAACTGAAACCATATTTATTACAATCAAAATTAATTAATTATGTATTCCACGGTCCTTGATTTCGGAAGTGTTTGTTTAGCGAATTCAATTGGCCCTTGATATTTCAATAACACCAACCAGTGCTTATTACCTTTTGTCAACTCAACTATAAAACCACGTGTTTACATAACAATGACCAACAATGCCTACCTAAGTGGTTGAATATACATCTCACCATGGCAACATCTCGCTATGTGGTTTACAAACAGTAAACGCGCTAGTTTTACAATAACGAAGTAATTGATAGAAGTACTGCAAGGTCGACGCAAAATGTCCGACGACAGACTGTTTGCGACGAGTTACAGATATGAAGTACGCAATCCGAACGCAAAGATGCTACAAAAAGCACTGACTCTGCAGAAATCGAGGATTGAGGTAAAACTATTAGGGGACAAACTAACGGTTACTTATTCTGTTTGATATAACTGAAACTGCTCGTGTTTCTGTTAGTTTCTCTCAGAAAGGCAACTTAAATTTCTGTCAAAACTGTCTGTGATAGTGGTAGTATAGAAAAGATATATACTCCTAGATATCAGACTTTGTCATTCGGTAAGATATCGATCTATTTAAAAGTGAAATTATCTCAATTACCTGAGACTGGAAATCTAGGTCAGTTTCACCACTAATTACTGCTGTTACCTTGATTTGTTAATAGACAGATGAAAAAATCGCGCATAGAACAGAGGTTGAAAACTTGTGAGTAATTTTCAATATGTTTCCTGAATAATGTTTCCAACGCCTTGTAAGTCCTGGATTATAACATCGTAATTAATTTCTGGTCATTTGAGGTCTTTAAGTGAATTAGACAAGCATGTAGGTGTTAAAAAAAGGTAACTAAGCATTATCAACTGAGCTGATAACATAAATTAGCTACCGTAAAGAGTTTCAAAGCTGACGTTTCGAGCGTTAGCCTCTCGTCCGAGCGCTCCTTCATCCCATCGAGCGTTAGTCTATCGCTCTGACGAAGGGCAAACGCTCGAAACGTCAGCTTTGAAACTCTCTACGGTGGCTAATTTACGTTATTATCTCAGTTGATAATACTAAATTACACTGCTATACTCTCCCATCGACGCAGCACCGTAGTTTTTTTAGAAACTTACCCCCTTGAAAAAAAAAAGTGAACTCGGAAGTTTGTTGAGATGGAAGATTTTAGTTGCCTTTTTCCAGCAAAACAACTTTCACACACACTAAACTTAATTAATTTCGCGATAGCCAGCGTCGCTCACCGACACAAGACGATGAGGTTACTAAACTACTACCGTCATGGGACGTTTAGGAAAAATTAAACATAATGCATGTAAAACGTTTCCTTTGAAGTGAAAGGCCCACATTGGCAGAATTTCTATATCTTGCCACATAAGCTCCGCACAGTTTCAATGCTCCAATTTTTTCCTGTTTTCAGTCAGTCGTTCTCCTAACTTTACCGATATCTTTTTTAGAGTTTCAAGTGAACTGGAAAGAGCAAGGTGGTTCAGTTCTCTTGAAGAGGTAAGGCAAGCCTTTGTCAGGTATATCAAACTCAATTGAATTTTTAGCAGTTATCATAAAACTTCCTATGTTCCGACCCGTTCTCTAAAAAGGGAAACCCACAGACGCTAGATATGAGTGCATTACGCGGGCCGGGGGATTGGTACTGGTTACCGGTTACTAGCTTTGTTCCTCCTTCACTTATGGATGTAAAGGATGTTCGTTTGTTGTGTGTCTTGGAAAGGTACCTGAGGGGAAGGGTGGGGGAAAAGGTCGTTGTAGTAATGTAATGCACTGCACCTCACACCCCAACCCGAGATTGAAAATCAAGTAGCAAAGCTTCAGAAATTCAATATTTAAACGAGGGAGTAGGGAAAAGCGAGCTGAAAACGAAGTTGGGAAAACAGTCCACAACTTTCTCCAATCTTTCCGCCTCTTCTTTCGTATTATTCCTACTCCTGCAATTGCACCGTAGTTTGTGGTTGAGTGTACATCCAAAAAAAGGAAAATGTTTCTCAATTTACGAGTTGCTTTACATTCACACCCTGTCACACTCTGTTCACGGGTTATTCACTGCTAGCTAGCTTTCCGCTCTTGAAAAAGGAACATTTGATCACAGGTGCTCCAAAAAGTGAAAAAAAAACTTCCTTAACTGACGTAATCTGTTGTAGGACAGTGAAAAGCGGCGCCAGAAAAGAGAAAAAGAGCTTGCCGACGATGAACTAAAGATGGCCAACGAACAATTCATAAAAGTATGTTTCTACATTGTTGTGTGAACTGCAAGAAAAAAAATTCCTTTCTCGCTCACATGCTGTCGCCAACTTAATGATTTCTTGCTTTTTCGTTTTCCGAAAAGTATGCCACTGAAACATATAGTGTGTGTTTCACGGTACGTATGGTCCTTTTTAAACCAGTTAACCCCTTAGAATGGTTAGTTAAATAATCACCAACTTAAAAAAACCTTAGTTCTCAGACAAATTATCCTATATAGTACCACAGAAAACTCCCAGAGCACGGAATGGACAACATGCATACCTATATTCAAATAGTAAAGCTGCTTCTGGCGAATGAGCTCCAGCCCTCTGCCGTGATTATTTTAAACTTCTCGTCTCGTTTACTTATTTTTCGCTGATTCAGTCATTTCGTTTCTTTGTTTGAATGTTTGATGTATCTCTTCTCTTCCACAGATTCGCCGTGCTCGACTTAAAAAGTTGTTAACAGAGGAAAATATCCAATACGAGAAAGAGCTCAATGGTTTCGGAAAAGCCTTCTACAAGAAAAGAAATTAAGCCTACTTTAGCGTTGTTAAAAAGATTCTGCGCACCTTTGGCTTATAAGTTAGATCTATCATCAATCGTCTTATTTCTACATGTCATTAGATCATTAGATAGCTTTGAAGTACATAACCGAGATTTTTTCCTCAAACCCGTAAGACGAAAACGAACTAGAGTATTATGGTTTATTGAGAATCTTAACGGTCAAATCCAGAGGTCAACATATCTCCGAAGGGCTTCCTTGCGAAAAGACTATTAACCGACTGTTCCTCCCCCATCAAAGAGCGACATCTCCTCAATATGCAACAAGAAGCGGACGAAAGGTTATTTCTCTGGCGTGAAGTGTGACCCAGCCCCTTCTCGTCATTCCACACTATGTGTTTGCCCATCCCCCTCCTCCCTTACGTTATTAGGACCGTGCGGAAAAAAATAATACCGTTGGTAATCGATTGAGAATGGCTTCTTTACCTGACTTTTGCTGCAGGTTGTGTTACATGATTGCATGATTGACAGCCAGGTTTCCTTCTGCTGCTGATTAGACGGATCAATATCAGTATCTGGGCAACTGCCCACCTACCCCTCCCCTAACCCAACATTAACCTTAAGTTGTTGTCAATTGACTGTTGTTGAGTTAGGGGAGGGGCAGGTGGGTAGTTGCCCAGATACTGATATTGATCCGATTAGACAAAGTCCCCATGAATACTGGATTGTCGAGTGTCAAATGCATTGGGCAAGGGAGGGGAGGGAAGGGGGGTAGTACTACTGATGCTTGAGCAGACCACTCTGCACCACTGATGCATTGAGATGCAGCAGAGGAGATAGCAAGGTCTGCAAACATGGGCATATGCAGTGTTATGAGTATTAGTAGATACCACACTAATAAATAATGCTTTTCACACACCCTGATCAGCTAGTTTGGAGGTGAATAACAAGCACTTTTCACCTCCAAGCTGAAGATAAGACAAAATTGGGCATAAGGAGTATAATTTCTGACCATTTTTTTTGTAAAGGAAAGAAATAAACTGATATTTTACATATTATATTTTTTACAACCTTTATTTACCTTGTTTGTCTGCCCATTTTAATGTCTCCAACATACCAACTTAATTGTCTTTTAATCAAAACATGATTTTACAATCTAAAAGTTTTTTTATTTTTCCTGGTACAGTTGGTTTAACCATGTTGGTATTTTTCTGTTTCCAAACTTCCTTGTACTTAATAAGTACCAAAAATTGAAAATATTCCTCAATAGATCAACCAAATCTGGGTACTTTGTACCTTCCATCATGCATTTAAGTGACCAAAAAAGAAAAAAAATCAAAATACTTGCCCATAGATTAACTCTACCAAGTTGTTTTATGTAGAAACTCAATTTTCAACTTTTCAACCTAAGGTCTTCGTGAAATATAGAAAAATATGTATTA